TTTTCTCGGTTATTTTGAAATTTACTTGAGTAAGTCGTTTACCCTAAAATATCATAAAGATTCAATATTCTACAAAAAATCACCCTCAAAGTTAAAAATTGAAGCATTTTTACTGATCCAAAATGTGACATATTATRTGACAATAGACAGAAAAATTTGTTTAAAAAAAATTGTGGTATTATAGACTTTATATAAGAGTTAAACTTCTAATGATATAATTTTAGGCTCTTTGTTTTTGTTATGTATGATATAAATTATTGTTTTTAAAATAGTTAAAAACATCTTTTTTAATAATGCATTATATTTTAATGCCCAGAAAGTGACAAGATGGGAAACAGGGCGACACAAAATCTCTCGTGTCAGATCACGTCACGATAATAATAAATTTAATAAACGTATATAATTAAAATTAGAGAATATTTTTTCCAATTAAAAAATACCTCATTATGTGTTGGGAACAAAAAAACCAAAAATATTATTTTTATAGTTCAACCGGCATTTCGAACAGTAAGTTGAAGAAATAAATAACATAAATATAAAATACCTATTGCTACTTTATAACAGTGAGTTGAACATAATTTTATGTCTGAAACTATTGAAATTCTGCTCCAATAATAAAAAAAAAAACGCGATAATATTATAATTTATAATTTTGTAAGATTTGAAGAGTATGAAAAAAGTATCTAAACGGAATTTAAACATCAGATTAACATCGTATAAATACCTTTATTTAAATCAAACATTTAACTCGTGACACATATATATTCGCAAGTATTGACGATCAGTAYCACTTGGTAATGAATAYAATAATTTATTAATAGTGGATAACATACACATTTTTTTACGTTAATATCCACCGACGATTAAATATACAAATGTATGATATAAATATAATATATTTTGTATGATTTATAAGTTAGGTTTTTCTTTTAATATTGTACTTACGCCAATATAATCAGGGAGGTACTTAAATGACAGATTATGACTTTATTTAAACGAGGAAACATATTCTTGTAGTGTTATAGCAATTGAACATTCTACAATAATAATATCACTTTTATTTAATATTTATTTCTTACATAAAATGCTGATTTATTAAATTAGTTAGGTTAGGTTATTTTGGGCTATTTTGAATTAGTACCTACCATCCATTTTACTATCCGGGTCAGAACCACGGTCGTGGCACAATCCATTGATTATACAAGAATACAACATAYGTAACTAAAAAGATTATTTACTTGATTGTACAAGTGTGTTTGGCAGTAAATGAGTAATATTCGTTGGGAACTGTTTAATTTCTATCATATACCGATATATTTTACTAAAATAATTTTAGCTAGGTAACCGAAATAATGGCAAAAATACTTAAAACAATATTATAATATTATATACCTATAGCTGTCATATTTACAGAACATTGATGGTTGACATTTTAAAAATACCTATTTAAACTTCAAAATATAACTAAAAAAATATTTTTTAAATGCAGGCACATATATATATATATATATATTTATATAGATACAGAATCGATTTTTTCGTGTTGCGTAATATTCAAAAATAAATAACTGTTTTAATGTTATCTAACATATGTTATCTAATTTATACTAACATTTTCAAGACATATAATTTTCGAAAATAGATTTTTTAAGTTATTTAAAGATATTAGAAATTTGTTTTCAATGATGATAGCAAAATTCTTAGAAATGTTATTTATTAAGTGGTTCTAACATAATTTTAAAAATATTGAAAACACATAACACATAAGTATACCTACACTTTTTTTCATATAATGACGTTTTAAGAAATATTTTCCACGAAAACTTAAGTTTTTCTTTAGTTATTTAAGGTTTTTTATTATAATTTAAATTATATACACTTGATTGTTGAAACCATTCTCGATGCTGTTTTTCTTCACGATTGTTTATCGTACCTATAACACGATAATATAATTTATTATTTAATAAAAGTTTTACACAATACCTATATTTGTCTTTTTAGATAATGTCGAAGTAGGTACAATTGAAACCTAATATACAATAGATAATGGAGTGCCTTTCCTGATGTTAATTTATACTGTATTTCATAATTACTAATAAGTRTTAGAACTAAAAATCAGCATTAACTAGGTAGGTATATTTGTCAATTAATACCTAAATTAAAAGTTATCTTATTTCATAACTTACAACATGGTGTTTATTGTAACCTTTTTAATTTTTAAATTGTAAATATTGTATATTTTTTATAACTTTTACCTTATATTCCACTTGGTAATACATAATATCTGTATATTGCCATTTAAGTAATGAAAAATAAATAGATGATATATTTTACGAAAACTAATTTAATATTGTAGGTAATAGCCAATAAGTGATTATTAAAAGTTTTAAAAATTGTAGGTACAAAGCTACAAGGCTRGGCAAGTTAATGATTTTTTTTTAACTCAGTTAAGTTAAGTTAAATTAAAATCTAAATCAAGTTAATAGTTAAAAGTTAATTCAAAATGTTCTATCAATTGAATTAAGTTAAGAGTTAACCTAAATTTAATATTAACTT